AACCCTATATACAAATAGAATTCAAAATTTTTTGTATATTCGAATTTGTAATTATATTGTATAGAAATATATTTCACAAAGAGATATGAAAAATGCATAAATCAAGCACATTTATTTACTAATTGAATTATATATTCATCTTTCAGATTTAATAGTGAGATTTAATATTAAAATTGTTGAAATATATGTTTTTGGCAAGTTTAAGAATATTTATATGTTTTTTTCTCGAAACTTGAAGAATATTCACATGTGTTTAAGCATGTTAGATAACATAAACACAATAAAAAAAATAAAGATGTTCAATACCAGTATATTCGAACATTTAAATTCGTTTAGCAAATGTGAAAGAAAATTAATTACCACATGATAAATAATTGTTAAATATTATGGTTATGATAATTTTGTTTGATTTTTAAGAATATTTTGTGGAAACATTTTTGGCCAATTTTCCTTAATTACCAACTTACCATAATAAACTTATTTAGAGTAGATTACATTTTTTTTTGTTGAATGATAATTAAATTAGATTTTGAATTTTTGGTAAGAAAATTTAATGACTGGATGGGAAAAAGGTTAGTTCTTGTAACTACCAAGATTTTAAAATTTTGTAATTAATGACAATCGAATAGTTTTTTAGATCTCAAATAAAATTATTATGATTTATTTAGTTTTATTAGATTTTTTATAACAACCTCAGATTCCTTAAAATAAAATTATATGGTGTTAGCTTATTTGTTTACAAACATATATTTTTATCAATTATATTTTTTCATATTAATAAAAATCCGTAAGATAAATTTTTATAATAAGTTTTTGGTAAAAAATTATATTGTATAAATATATAAAATCTAATTTTATAGGTTCTGAGTCATTGTATGAGTAAAATAATTTTGTTTTTATATACAAATTGGATTTTAATTAATTGGTAAAATTTTTTATATAAAATACTTTTTTTTAAACTTCTGAATATCTTTATTAAAGTGATATCTCTCTCGATGGAGAGAAACAAAATGTAAAACACTTTTCAATTAATATATTTTTTAATGAAAGTTTGAAATTCTGTTGGGCAATAAGTATATCTTAGGGGCCCTTATTCGTAGATGGACTTATGTAGATTTTGTAGATTTTGAAAATTCTGAGATTTTATAAATTTTGATAGATTATCATTGATTCTTAAAAGATATTCCTAGGATTGTTATTGATTTGTCATAGATTGATATAGATTTATATTAACCATTTTCTATATAAGGTAATATATAAGGTAACCCTTTTTATATACTATATGAGCATAAC